GAACCCCCAGGGGTCTGAGGACCACACCTGTACTAGCCGTGCTGAAGGTAAAATGATGTTGGGGGTAGAAGGCCATGGTTTGCTAAGATCAGGTGGGTGGAGAGAAGTATTTTGACTAGATGGAATAAGATCAGGGCCAATAATTTCAACTTGGGGTGCCTGTGGTGCGGAGGAAGAAAGTTTGAACCATGTTGTTTGGAGATGTGATAGGTTTATTACGGACAGGAGAGACTTGGAGGCACTCTTGTCCAGTAAAGGGGTGGTTAGAGGGACGGATGTCCACGAAATTGCAATGAAAGGAAAGCTGGGGCTCTTTAAACCAATCTCCAGGTTCCTAGATAAACTAGGAAAACCAATGTAAACAAAAAATGATGTGTTCTAAGCTCTGGTGGAACGTGCCAGGAAATGCGGCAGAAACAAATATATGTAATGTATTTCATCTTTTTCTGTCCTTTTATTTACTTATTTGTTTGCTGCAGGAAGGAAGTGATCACGCTTCCTTTCTCTCTTATAGGGAGTAAGTCATTGGAAGCTGTGTTTGTGAAAAGAGTGTGCGAGTAGAAGTATGCAGGGAGTGAGTCAGTCGGTTTTGTTAGTTTGAATTTTCGCACCTCGAGTGCGTGTGGAGCTTTCGGATAAATTTGTAACTGCCTATAAAGTTCGTTGGGCAATATAGGGAGGGATACTATGGAGTCTTAATCCTGTTGCGTGTCCTTTTAGCGGAATAGGGATACAGTAAAAGCTGGATATATGCAACAAAAGTTTGGCTGGATATATGCAACATCGCTATCCCCTCCACTTGAGGGGATCCCCCTAAGCGAACCGAGCCGCTCGACGAGGAAACCGTGTAATATGATCCGACCGTAATATCGGTGTAACTAATATTAATTGAACGATAAAACTTTTTCATTTTTAACTTTTTCTTAATGAAACTTTTACTAACGCATTTGTGAGATTTTCCTGATTAAAATGATACCAAACATAAGGCAGGCCGTATACCAAAGATGCATCAAACACGCAACATGCAACATGCAACACGTCGCATGTTGTGTACGAACGTAGAATAGGTATCGCGGCTGAATACAAACGATCTATACGGATGCAGAATCGACACCTCGACTGGATATATGCAACGTTTCAATGCCCAGAATCGACACCTCGGCTGGATATATGAAACATTAAATGCCCAGAATCGACACGTCGGCTGGATATATGCAATGTTTGAAACCCGAGCCGACACCGCAACCGGTTTTCATTTCCAATCCTCCTTTGCTTTTCGCCAACTTTTAACATCAATTTTAGCAAGTAATTATAATTCAAACTATATCGTGTTTGGTATGATTTTAATCAGAAAAATGTCACCACTGCGTTAGTAAAAGTTTCAGTAAAAAAAAGTCAAAAATAAAAAAGTTTTATAGTTGAATTAGTATTAGTCACACCGATACGTTTCGGCTCTTTCCTTTGATCATCGGACCTCTCTCTTTCCGCCACTGTCTGTCCTTTTTATCCGACTTCGAAAAGGAGGAGGATACTCAATTCGAAGTGTATGTATTTTTTTTTTATGTAAGTTCACCGTTTACGTCGAGACGGATTGACCAATCGGAACGAAACCTTTTGCGTTTTATAGAGTTTAATCCCCATTGGTCCCGTAAGAAACATATTTTGCATTTTTTCATTCCTTCATTTTGAAGGTCGGTTATTTGGAGGTGGTGCTGCGGATAATGGATAATGTGGAATAGTGATATTATCCATTGTACCGCCGATCAGATAATTTAAAAACTGTTATACCACCAACGAGATAATTTAAACTTGGTACAGCACCGGCGAAATAATTATATCGTCGGTGCTATTTGGAAAACAATTATGTTTTATTTTATAATTGTATTACATTCTTATTGTTTTATTTTCTTTATTGCATACCACTGTAATTATTATTGCATAAATATTATTATTGTTTTGTAATTGTTACGTTGCGCGTGCGACGGCGCAACGTAACAGGGAAAAAAGAAGGAAAAGTAAAAGAAATTATTTCCTTAGAGTAGAATTACAATTGGAAGGTTGTAATCTACTGTTAGTTCCTTTTCCCGGATTTCTGCGCGATGGATTAGGTATTCGCTGCCACCATTCTTAAGCGTGTATAACGCGGTTGAGCATTCTCTACACTTAAGACAATTAAAAGACGGAAAGAGTGATGTTAATTTTCCGTTGGGATCGTCAGCGCTCTGGGTCCCTCCTTGAAACTGTGTGGAGTTGGTATGCGTGGTTTTATGAATGAGTGAAGGTGGTTGTTTGAAATGAACTTTGAAACGGTTTAAATACAGTAACTGGTATAATTGCAAAAAGATTCGTACTGTACAAGAATTGTTAACAGAAAAGAGTAATAAAGTGTAACTGAATTCAGAAATAACCAGTTCCGCGTGTAGATTCTCATAAAAATTCACAAGGGTAAAGATACTTAATGAGTAATTAACAAAATAGTAATCCGCGGTAACAAGTACACTTTGAGACACAATGAGACGCAATTCAATATTTTCGATCTGACGTGCGCGCGAGTTCGATTACTTCGTTCTTTGTTTAAATCGAAAATTTTGCTTTGCTTGGAGGAAAACGTCCTGAACGGAGACATTAAACTTGAAAAATTGAATTTTGGCCACGAAAAACCGGTTCTTGGACCACTGTGCGATGGTGCGTTTGATTTTCTTAACGAAAAGCGCAAAATTACTAAATTATGATAATTAATATGTAACGTCGCGAGGTTCTCTCTCTCGCTGAGTCCTCGGCGTAGTTTATGAAATTCGATCTGCGTTGTTAGTTAGATAGAGGTTCTCACTTACGTTTCGCTGGGCGAGTAGAACCTGTCTGTGGACGGAACCTATGGTGGTGTGTCGTCCAGGTATTGGAGCGGTAGGGTAGATGGTTCGAGTGAAGATCACGCACTTCTGATCACAATGTACGTTTATTTGGTTCTGGTACAGTCTTTAATTCGCGCGCGTTTACAACTGAGTCTTCCGGCACCTTGCTCTGTCGAAGCCCTGAGCTTCGTAGCAGAGTCGTATCGGCTAGACTTGATTAATTTATTGATATTAACGGAATCTTGCTCTGTCGAAGCCCTGAGCCTCGTAGCAGAGTCGTGTAGATTCTAGAGTATCGAACTCTGAGCGGTATTTCGCGGATTATCTTCGCGGATTTAACGATTTACGAATTGTCGGAATGATCTGATCGGATCGCGATACTTTCTGGTTTTCCTACTATTACTGCTATACTGGTATACTGATAACCTGATAAACTGCTTCTGAGAGCGCGCGGGCTCGGTCGCGTTATTTTATATTGATGAGCGAGGTCGCCGTTCGATTTTGCAATTCGGGTGAACCACCTCGTTCGGACCGACAGAGTTCTCGCAACCCGTCGTCCCGATCGAACTGCTCACTCAAAATTTGCGGAACGGTGAATTCGGATAATGAAATATGAGTTTAAAGAATTTGAATGGCGAAATGGACAATGACAAATAATTGATAATAGTGTAGTTGCAATGTGGTGATAGGTGGTTGCAATGTCGTGATAGTTAACAGACATACTTTGTTAAACAATTCCCATCGATACTCTTTGGCATTCGTTTTCCCTTCGTAGTAAATTTAAACAATTCGAAGGTAACGATGTTCGTTCGAGAACGTTCTTTTGTTCAAATTTTGCCGTTAGGCTTCTTCGCCGGGCAATTTCTCAGTATTTCTAGTACAATAGTGTTTATTGCCTTGAACGACCCCTAATTTCAAACAGTGTTCGAACGTTCGCGACGTTCGCACTCGCAAGGGTTCTCATTCCTTAGCTTTCATTGTTTAAATATATTAACATCCATCCATTCTTTCACACTACCATTTTATATACACATAAACGATCCTTGTTGGACTGGCTGGCGCTTGTGCAAAAAGGGGAGGGAGGGCATCAGATAGAGTAAACTCATTATGATTTTTCCGTTTCTACACAGTTAACCTGGCAGTTAACCTGGGGAAAATCCGGAATGCGAAGCACTGGCTAACTGCGTAGCGCTGGTGTAAACACTAGTCTCTCTATTCCTCTCAAGCGGACTCGAGTTTTTGTGCGGTGTTATATTCTATTGCTGTTGAGCGACGATAGTTTCAAGGAGGGTTACGAATACTATTGAAAAGAAGGAAATAGAAACGACCTTTCCTCGTGTACCTCGCATGAGAAATTCTCGCAACCCCGGAGGGCTTGACAAGATACACGAGGTCAGGGTAGAGCAGTTAAAGAAAGGAAAGCTATAGAAGAAGTAAAAATAGAGAAGCAATAAACTCAAACTCTCCCCTGTACATCCTCGCATGAGAAATTCTCGCAACCCGAAAGGCCTTGACAAGGATGCACAAGGTCGAGGAGGAATGAAAAAGATTGGCGGAAAAGAGAAACACCCCCCTCATGCCCCTTACATTGAGAAATTCTCGTAACCCAAAAGGGCTTGATAAGGGACACAAGGCGGATAATTTCAATTTTCCGTCGGGGCTTAACACGTATCAACTCCTTGGAACATTCTGCATAAAAAAGTACTATGGTACTTTATTAACCGTACTTTAAAATCATAAAGTACGTGTATCAAAAGTTACGCTTGCATGGAGCAAGACGCACCCCTCCAAATGGAAGGATTACGTACGCAACAGGGTAATCCAAATCCAGGAGATCACACAGAATTATCACTGGAGGCATGTACCAGGATCATCGAATCCAGCTGACTGCGCGTCAAGAGGTATGACGACAGATCAGCTACAGCAGCACTCCCTTTGGTGGACGGGACCGCCGTGGCTCACGTAAACTCAGAACGCATGGCCCAAGCAGACCAACGCTCCCGTCAACGCACCCGTTCACTCGGCTCACCGCTTACCTAGACCATCAAGGAATAGCCAGGGTAGGCGGACGCCCTCAGCATTCAGAACTCTCACACGAAAGCAAGCATCCAGCGATTTTGACTCATCGACCACGCACATCATCAGACAATGCACGGAGGTACGCAATCCACTCTTGCCTTTCTCAGACAACGCTCCTGGATCATCGGTGGACGAGCTCCAGTGAAGACGCATATCCTGAGGTGCGTGAACTGTGCTTGGCAGAGAGGGATCCGTGCCCATCAACTGATGGGCCAACTACCTCTTTGCCGGGTCACTACATCGCGCCCGTTCACGCATATTGGCGTGGATTACGCAGGACCGCTCACGCTGAAAACTTGGAAAGGCAGAGGAGCCAAGACGCAGAAAGGGTGGATTTGCGTATTTGTCTGCTTCTCAACCTCAGCTGTGTACTGCACGCAGCTTATCGCAGCTTATCGCAGATTTACTTCAAGAAGAAGCATCGCAGCCGCTTTTTACTCAGGTTGCGGTACCAACTTCCAAGGTGCGGACTCGCAGCTGAAGAAGCTCTTCACACAAAGCACACGCGAGAACCAGGACATCGCAGCATTGCTCGCTGAGGATGGCACGCAGTGGCACTTCAACCCGCCTGCCGCTCCACACATGGGTAGAAAATGGGAGGCAGTAGTCAAATCTCTCAAATTTCATTTGAGAAACACAGTTGGGGACGCTCTTCTGACGTACGAGGAATCAATAACATTATTCGCGCAGATAGAAACGATCCTCAATTCGAGGCCACTGGAACCACTCAGCGACGATCCAGACGACGCGACGTCTCAGCCCTCTCACCAGGACACTTCCAGATTGGAACTCAGCTCAACGCAATACCTGAACCAACGCTTCTTGATGTCGCAGCCAACAGATTGTCAAGGTGGCAGTTCCTGCAGCAGCGCCTCCAACAATTTTGGAGAGTCTGGTCCATTCAGTCTCCATTCAGACTCCAGACCATCTCGAAGTGGCATCATCCGTCCAACGAAATCAAGGTAGGCTCTCTTGTTCTCCTTACTGATGAACGCTTGCCCCAGGGAAATGGCCGATGGCCAGGGTTCTCAGTCTGATGCTAGGAACGGATGGACTAACCAGAGTCGTGAAACTCAAGACGGCCACAACGACGCTCACACGGCCTATCGCCAAGCTTGCTCTTCTTCATCAGGCCTCTCCGGACAGCGCAGACACGCAGACCACATCATCGACCAGTCGCTGATGGCTGGGGGAAATGTTGGCGAAATTTCCCAAGTCCACGCAGAACGCCGAAGTTGGCAGCGAAAATACTTCGCCGGTGCGTCGCTACCGACAGCGGCAGCACCTCTCGGGCCCTATTTGTTCACGCGGTCCCCTCTCTACGCCGGAACCGGCACCATGATCGATTTCTGCCTTCTTGTTCGATCTCGCGTCGCGTGAACACGTGTATCCGCCGACCTCGCAGATTAGTGCAAGTCCGCATTTTTACGATCCACGTGAGGCTGAATCTTTCAGCCCGCGCAATTATCAGTTGTAATTTGTATTCTCGATTCATTTAGTTAAAATTGTTTCATTATGTGTAAGTTTTGCTCTGTGTAAATACTCTCGTGCGTCCTCTTTTAACTGTTCTGGTGTGACTTTTGTAAATACCCTTTTCCACTTGTTAAATAAACCTAGTGTCGTTATTGTTAAGGAGCGTGTTTCATTTCTGCCCGCACAGACCACGCGATATTCCGAACAAATATGTATTCTAAAATTGATAATTATAATATTGTGGCGACATCGAGAAGTTTCCGCTCTTTCGACCCATCGACCGCTTCTTGATGTATCGAAAGAGCCATCGACTGCTCCGTCTGAAGCTGTTGACGAATCATCACGAGAAGCTATTCCTTGTTTCGAGCGGAAACACGTCACCGGATGCTTGAGGTCTCTTAGACAACCGCGCGTCTTTTGAATATCAGAATGTATCGGGAAGCCGACCTGTACGGACCTATTGCTTAAAACTCCTGTGTGTTTGAAATATAGACAGTCTAGTTTGCTCCTTGTTTATTCATTTGACTATGGAAAGTGCGGGCTCCACTCCCCGGCGCAACATTGGCGCAGTCGGTAGAACGATAAGAACTCGATCTTCAGCCGGGGACGAGGTTTCTTCCGTGACTTTGGAGTCGCTTTTCGAGGACCTGCAGACGAGCATCTCTACGCACTTCAGGGAGCAGCAGCGCGTTTTTGATTCTCATTGGGAAAAGGAGCGCTCTCGCGCAGAAGAAAAGCAGCAAGAAGAGAGAACGACTTCTTCAGCGATGCAGAAGGTGATGGAAGAGCGGATTGCAGCGATGGAAAATAGTTATCAGGTGCTATCGTCCAATTTCCAGTTATTTTTAGAAAAGTTTTCGGCCACGGCAGTCCTTGATGGGGATCGCGAGGCCCTTCTTGTTAATCCTTCCACTTCTGCTGGTCTCGCGATACCCCAGCCTTCGCCTTCGGTCTCTCAACAGGGAATGTCTGGTGTGTCGCGGAACGTTTCCGATTTAGGTTACGTTCTGAAGCCACCAAAGTTTGATGGTAAAACTAACTGGGAGGAGTTTAAACTCCAGTTTGAAGCGATTGCAGGGGCGAATCGTTGGGATGAGCCAAGGAAGGCCTTGGCCTTGGTTGCATCACTGAAGAGACCGGCGCGGAGTATTTTGACTTCTCTCTTCGTTGAAAAACAAACTGATTTTCCCGCGTTAATTTCGGCCCTTGCGTTCCGTTATGGAATGAAAAATTTTGAGAACCTCAATTATGTTAAGTTCCAAAATTATAAACAACGGAAAGGGGAATCTATTTCCGATTTAGCCACGGAGATTGAGAGGCTGGCACAGGCCGCTTTTTGTGAATGCCCAACAGAAATTAGAGACAAGCTTGCTGCCTCACAATTTGTTTCTTCACTGGCTAATGAGGAAATGAAACGGATGCTGAGGCTCGGAGGTTTCACATCTCTCAGGGCTGCTGTTATCAGGGCTCTGGAGATTGAAGCAGTCGAGTCGATGGTTACTACGCCCGTCATAAAAAAGGAATCGTCTAAACCGTTTTATTCTTCGGAGAGGGTTTCCGGAAGGAGTGAAATCAGAAGACCGGTAAAACGGAAGCTTGAAAAGCAGGAGATAGAATGCTGGAATTGCAAAAAGAAGGGTCATATGTGGCGGAATTGCCCGAAAAAAAGAAAAGAAGAATTTTCAACGAAGAAGGGAAACGGGAAGAAGGCGTGGAGGGGCATCCTCCGGCTTCACCTTTGTCCGGCCCCGTCGTACGAAAAGTTGCCGGAAATGTTTTGTCCTGCGTCGAGGGATTCGTCGCAGAAAGGGAGTGCCCCATAATAATTGACACGGGCTCAAGTTTAAATCTATTGGATGTAAAGAGATTTCGAAGTGATAACGAATTCGGCGCGGCGGGAACGGAAGAACGCTATAGTCCCCAAATTTTCTCCATCTCTGGGGAAAAATTACCGATTTATGGAAAACAGCGATCCTTGGTAACAATCGGGACTTTGAACACCGGAGAAGATTTTCTCCTTAGCGATATGGTGGAGCAGTGTATTCTGGGAACAAATTTCCTCAATAAGCATTCTTGTCAGCTGGACTTTATCTTGGGAAAGCTTTGTATAAAACACCATGGTGAAGTTGATTTTCTAAGAAGTAATTTGATGAAGAAACCGTTGGCATTTAGCACAAGAAGGGAAGAGAATTCCGTTCCGGAGTATCTTCAAGGACTGTACATACGCAGTGGAAAAGATTTGAATGAAGAGCAACGGTTTGCATTTAGGGATTTACTTCTTGAATTTAAAGACATTTTTGCCAAGAATTCGGACGAAGTAGGAAAATGTAGTGTTGCCCAGCATAAAATAGACACGGGAACTTGTTCGCTGATTAAACAACCCCCACGACGTTTACCGTTACACCGCCGAGATGAAGTTGAGGAACTTCTTACGAAAATGGAACGGCAAGGGGTGATTGAAAAGTCGAAGAGTCCATGGTCTTCGCCAATTGTCCTGGTCAAGAAGAAGGACGGGAGTACCAGGTTTTGTGTGGATTATCGTCGTCTTAACGAGGTTACAAAGAAGGATTCATATCCGTTGCCAAAGATCGAGGATACTCTGGATGCGGTGGCCGGTTCAACGTGGTTCACGACGCTGGATTTACGAAGTGGATATTGGCAGATCTTAGTTGATGATGAAGATAAGGAGAAGACCGCCTTCTGCGTTGGCACAGGACTGTGGCAATTTAAAGTCATGCCCTTCGAACTTTGTAACGCTCCAGCCACTTTCGAGCGTTTGATGGAAAATGTTTTATAAGGATTAAACTAGAAGATTTGTCTTGTTTACTTAGATGACGTTATCATTTTTGCGAAAAGCTTCGATCAAGAGATTGAGCATATAAGAGTTGTATTCTCCCGTTTGCGCGACGCCAAACTTCTACTGAGCCCGAAGAAATGTAATTTCTTTTGCCGGGAAGTCAGGTATTTGGGGCACATAGTCTCTGAGGATGGAGTGAAGACGGACCCCGAGAAGATTTCAGCGGTACAGAATTGGCCGATCCCGAAGAACAGGACTGAGCTGCGAACTTTCCTGGGTCTCTGCACCTACTATAGGAAATTTGTGAAGGATTTTTCTTCCATTGCGAAACCTTTACATCGTCTTACTGAGGACAAAGTGCTTTTTAGTTGGTCAGAAGAATGCCAAGGTGCTTTTGAAGAATTGAAGAGACATCTTGTAGAAGCTCCAGTTCTGGCCTATCCTCGACATGAAATGGATTTCATTCTTGATACGGATGCATCGAATGTTGCAATTGGAGCAGTCCTCTCTTAGTTCCAGGAAGGACAAGAGAAGGTTATAGCCTTTTTCTCGAAAATGTTAGGAAAGGCTGAGAGGAATTATTGTGTGACTAGAAGAGAGTTGTTAGCTATTGTAAAATCCATAGAGCACTTCCATCATTATCTTTATGGACGAAGATTTCTGATAAGAACTGATCACGCTTCTTTGAGATGACTGCTTTCATTCAAGAATCCAGAGAGGCAGACTGCAAGGTGGATTGAACGTTTGCAAGAGTATGATTTTGAAATTAAGCATCGAGAGGAAAAGAATCACGGAAATGCGGACAGTCTTTCGAGAAGACCCTGTGAAACTGCGCAATGCAAGCCTTGTTACTCGTCTGGAGGAAAAGGATCAGAAAAAGGGAAATCACATCCTCAGGACGGTTTGTAAACCCGAGAATTTTGAAGAATGGATAGAAGATCAACAGAAAGACGAGGAAATTGGTTTTATTTACGAAAGAAAGAGAGAAGGTCATAAACCGGATTGGCAGGAGGTTTCCGCTCTTTCTTCTGGAGCAAAGTTTCTCTGGGCATTTTGGGACTCTTTGGAAATTCATCAGGATTTGTTGTTTCGAAGATGGGAGTCCGTTGATGGAAAGGAAGCTGATAGACTATTGATTGTACTGAAGAGTAAAGTCGAAGAGGTTCTTCAGGAGTGCCACAATGCGTCGTCTGGAGGACATTTCGAAATACATAAGACCTTGGCCAAGGTTCGTCGGCGGTTTTTCTGGCCTAGTCACCGAAGAGATGTGGAAGATTGGTGTCGTCGGTGTCATCGTTGTACGGCGAAGAAAGGTCCTTCGGGGAAGGGAAGAGGACTCATGAAAGTCTACAACGTAGGGGCACCTTTTGAGAGGATCGCGCTCGATGTTGTTGGTCCCTTACCAAGGTCTTCTTCTGGAAACAAGTACGCGCTGGTTGTAGTGGATTATTTCACGAAGTGGCCAGAGGTGGTTCCGCTTCCGAACCAGCAAGCGACGACAATTTCCACGGCCCTGATGAGGGAGGTGATAAGTCGGCATGGAGTACCGTTGGAGCTTCATTCTGATCAGGGTCGCAGTTTTGAGTCAACTGTCTTTAAAGAGTTGATGAAGATGTTGGGGATAAAGAAAACGAGAACAACTCCCTTGCACCCTCAGTCGGATGGACTCGTAGAACGGTTGATACGGACCTTGATG